CATTACAAACTTGACATAATAAAGAGAATACTGCACACTACAGTGACACAATGCACACTCAAGTGTAGTTGGCACATTCACCAGAAGTGATCATATTCTAGGTCATAAGGTAAACTTTGAGAAATTTCAAAGTTTTGAAATCATTCAGAATAGTTCCTCTGACCACAGTTGCACTAATCTATAATTCAGTCCCAGAAAGAGAGCTAGAATCGTCAGCTGCTTGGAAATTGCATAGCACACTTTAAAATACTATGTAAAAATGAATTAAGAACACATATTTTTAACTAAAAAATAATAAAGGCATGCCATATAAAAACTTACACGCAGTGCTAATTGGGATGCTTATAGGGTTAACTACATATATTAAAGGCTGAAGATCTGTGTTCCAAGCTTCTATCTTAAGAAACTTGAAAATGAAACAGTAAATTTAACCCAAAGGAAGGAGAAGGAAAAAAGTAATAAAGATAAGATAAAGATAAGATAAAAAAGTAATAAACAATTAAGTAGAAAATATATGTATAATAGAGAAAACAAGTGTATCCAAAATTTGATTACTTGCAAAGATTAATATCATTAATAACTCATTAATGAAATTGATCAAGAAAAAATGAGAGAACACAAAATTATTAATAAAAGAAGTATAAAAGAGGACATCACTTTAGATGCTACAGATATATAAACAGCATTATGGATATTATAATGGATGCTACAGATATTTAAACATTAAGGATATTATAAACAGCATTATGTCACTGTTTCACAATTCAGATGAGATAGCCAAATTTCTTGATAAATACATCTTGTCCAATATGATCCAGAAAAAATAATACACCTAAAAACTCTTTATCTATTAAATAAATTGAACCTATTTTTAAAATCCTACCATAAAAGAAAACTTCCAGGTCAGATGGCTTTATTGGTGAATTTTTCCAAGTGTTTGGAGAAGAAAAAGCAATCTTACAAAACTCAGACACGCAAAAATTGATGCATTCTTTCCTATTCTTTATGTGCCAGCATAATGTTGATTCAAGAGCTGGACAAGAATATTACCAGATTGGAAAAATAAAGACCATATGCAAAAATCCTGAGGACAAAAATACAGAATATAGATATATCTTAAAGAACATGTTAACAATTGAAATCAACTCCTATATGAAAAAGTATACATCATAATCAAGTAGAGTTTATTGTAGGTATTAAGGATAATGTGACATTAAAAGTCAATTAGGGGCGCCTGGGTGGCTCAGTCGGTTAAGCGTCCGACTTCGGCTCAGGTCATGATCTCACGGTCCGTGAGTTCGAGCCCCACATCGGGCTCTGTGCTAACAGCTCAGAGCCTGGAGCCTCCTTCAGATTCTGTGCCTCCCTCTCTCTCTGACCCTCCCCCGTTCATGCTCTGTCTCTGTCTCAAAAATAAATAAACATTAAAAAAAAATTTTTAAAAAAAGTCAATTAACATAATTTAGCACACTAATAGAAAAAAACACAAAATTTATATGATCTTATTATATACAGAAAATTATTTGATAAAACTTATCTTCCATGTATGATAAAAAAAAACTATCAGCAAACTAGACATAGAAGGGAACTTCCTTAACCGACAAAGAATATGTTATAAAATGCTTGTAGCAAATATTAAATTTAATGATGAAATATTAAAAACATTCCCCTTGAGATATAAAACAGCACAAGGATGCTGCTATCACTTCCACTTAACATGGTACCAAAAGTTTTATCCAGGGAAAGACAAGAAAAACATAAAAATTTATATATACCTAATAACAAAGCTTCAAAATATAGAAAGGAAACTTGATATTACTAGAAGGAAAAATGGAAAAATGCACAATTATAGTTGGTGCTTTTAATATACTTTTCTTAGCAACTAATGGAACAAGCAGATTTAAAAAAATAATAGAATAGAAGCGATTTGAACAACATGATTATTTAATCTGACAAAACTGACATTTGTAGAAATTGCATCCATCAACTGAAGATACACATTATTTTTCCATGTGCATGTGACATTCTTACCAGAAAGAGACCATATGTTATGCCCTAAAGCAGGTCTTAACAAATTACAAAGGTTTAAAATTAGGTAGAGTATATTTTTAGACAACAGGAGAGTTATAATGAAAATATGATATATCAAAATTTGTGTGACAAAGAAAAATATTTAGAGGGAAATTCATGGTTCTTGATGCATATATTAGAAAAAGATTAAAAATAGGTTTTTAGCTTGATAAATTAGGAAAAGAATAGCAAACAAAATAGGGGCACCTGGGTGGTTCAGTCAGTGGAGTGTCCGACTCTTGATTTCAGCTCAGATCATAATCTCATGGTTCGTGATATGGAGCCCTGAGTGGGGGCTCAGTGCTGATAGCTTGGAGCCTGTTTGAGATTCTCTCTCTCCCTCTCTCTCTCTGCCCCTCCCTCACTTGTGTTCCCTCTCTCTCTCTCTCTCTCTCTCTCAAAATAAATAAACTTAAAAAAATACCTAAACAAAATAGAAGGAAGGAAATAATAAAGATGACAGCAGTAATTGATGAAATAGAAAATACATGCACAATAGGAAAAAAAGCCAGTAAGTTATTAAAAAAAATAATGCAACTGATAAACTTCTAACAAGACTGATCAAGAAAAAGGGAGAAAATTCAGGTTACTGATATTAGGAATAAAACATGAGGGCATGGTTATAAATCCTACAGATAGTAAAAAATAGTAAAAATATTATGAACAACTTTATGCCAGTTTGACTATTTCATTGAAATACACAAATTCCTTGAAAAATATAACTTGTCAAAACTAACCCAAGAAAAATGAGAACATCTGAATTCTCATATCTGTCAAGAAAATTAAATTCATTTTCAAAAGGTTTCCCACGAAGAAAACTACTAACCCTGATGATTTCTCTGATAAATCTTCCAAACATTTATGAAAGAAATAACAATCCAACTCAGCATCTTCCAGAGAACTGAAAAAAAGGGGATATTTCCTATCTCATTTTAGTGCAAGGATATTACAATCAAAGAAATGTACAGCTAATCTCTCTTATAAATATAGAAACAAAAATCTTAAGTAAATCATTAGCAAGTTGAGAGAAAAAAGATAATCATAACCTGGTAGGATTTATTTCAGGAATGCAAGGGTAGCTTAACAATAGAAAATCAATCGATGCAATTTACTACATTAATACAATCACAGAAGGAGATTTTAATACATTTTAAGAAATCAATAACTCAGAAAAAAAATAGTAGCACTGTAGTAATATGAATAATGCATTTAATTAGCTTTATCCAGTACCTATATAGAACTTAGCATCAAATAGAGGACCTGAATTATTTTCAAGTATACACAAAATATATTTTCCCAAATAATAGCACAATGGGACTCCCAAAAGATTCCAAAGAATTGATATCATACATTGTGCATTCAATTACCAAAAACAAATAAGAAATTAATTGAAAAGTTTTTAAAAATAAATTTATTCATGGAGCACTTGGGTGGCTCAGTCGGTTGAGCATCCAACTTTAGCTCAGGTCATGATCTCACAGTTCATGAGTTCAAGCCCCACGTTGGACTCTGTGCTGACAGCTCAGAGCCTGGAGCCTGCTTCAGATTCTGTGTGTATGTATCTCTCTCTCTACCTCTTCCTCACTTGTGCTCTGTCTTTCTCTCTCACTCTCTCTCTTTCTCAAAAACAAATAAACATTAAAAAAATTAAAAATAAATTTATTCAAAAGCAAGGCAAAACTTAACAACTGATAAGTTAAAGAAGTAACCATAATTGAAAACACAAAATATTTTGTTTTGAATAAAACAGAGGAATTGCATATAAAATTGTGTGATGCTGTATGTATTTAAACAGAATAATGAAAATAAATGGGATAAGGTTTCAAGTCAAAGAGCTGAAAAGAAAAAATTGGGGCAAACAGAGAGAATATAGGAAAAGGATACAAATTAGTGAAATTAGTGAAATAAAGAATAAAAGAGAAATTACCAAAAGTAAAAATCTGATTATTTTGAATAATAAAACAAACAACTCTGAAAAAAATAATTGAGAAGAGAAAGAAAATCACAAATAAATAGTGAAAGAAATATGAAAGGGAAAACATCACAAATAGAATTGAATTTTTAAGATTCATCAAGAGAATACCATGAGCAATTTTTGCCAATAAACTAAAAAATTTGAATGAGGTGAAAACTATAAGTAAAAAACAAAACAAAACAAAAACAAGACGTTTAAAAAGTAATAGAATGGAAACCTAAAAATTGGATTAATAGTAAAAAATTATGACAACATAAGGCAGTTATATAGGAGAAATAAATCATCTCTTTCATATGCAAACTGTTTCAGAGAATAGAAAAAAAGAGGTAAGTTACTGAACTCATTTTTAAGGCTATAATGATAGTCTGATATTGTTAATGAACACAAATACACAAATTATAGATGATATCATATAAACAATTTAACCCAATACTATGCACGCATATATATTTTAACAAATAAAATTTATTCTAAGGAACAAAAATTCAACATAAAGATTTTATTAATGTACTTTATAAGGTAACAGGTTTAATGGGACTGTAGGGAGATGTGGGTAAAAAGGGAAATTCAGTTTTAAAAATAATGTTTAATTTGTTTTATTTTTTTTAAAGATCTGAAGCAACTAAGGCAAAATGTTATTCCATCTAGGTGATGAGTGTAATGCCTTTATTATGTTATCCTCTGCACTTTTCTGATTTTGGAATTTTTCACGTAATTCTCTAGTAGATTACAGCCAAGTTTTCTATGTTAGCAATAGATAAAGCTATTTCTTACTGAAAAAAGCCCATAAAAATCAACCTCCTACTCCTTTGATTTATTCAATTACAGTGGGGCTTTTGCCTTTGCTTATAAAAAAACAAAAGCCATCTGTGTTGCTGTGAAGAAGAAAATCAGATAAACCTCAAAGGTCATGATTGACGTTCTCTAAGGTTTCTTTGTTCTTAACTCTGTTCAGGGATCTGAACTGATGCCTTTCTGGGGGAAGAGCCTATTTTCCATCTGGGAAAGTGCCTCTTTGTGTGGTGTGAGGAAACAGCAGTCCATAGTACCTCAGGCAGCTTGTGAGGTAAGGTGCCCCGGCTTCACGGCGTGTAACTCCTGATGCTTTCTCTTTTAATGTAAGTATTTGATTCCATTCGAGGCCACTGGCCTCATATAAAGCTGCCTCTGAGCCAGTGTCAGAGAGATTCATCTCCCCATGATCTTCTTTCTCCTGACACACCATCTGTCTCTCTCCTTAGAGAGACACAGAGGAGAAACAGAGGTGGAATTTAATCACCGAGGTCTCTAGGCTACTGAACTCCCGACTTCTAAGCCGTAGCTCAGCTCTTGAATCCCTCTGCTGTGGAAAAGAAGAAAAGAATCATTTTTACACTTAACTAAAACTGTACTTTTTAAAGACGATCGATTCTTCTTTCCATCCTTGTCATTATCAAATTAAACCAAAATGATGCCGTTGATGATACTTTCAGCAAACACAAGAGTGCTAGACTCTTTCCTGTCTCCAGACTCCCCAGCTTTATTTACATGACTTGGGTTTCTGCCCTTGACAGGAATTGGCCTGAGGGGGTAGAATAAGGTAGAAGCCTTAGCACAGTGCCTGACTCAGAGTAGGTGTTCAGCATATGGCCTCTAGCCAGCCCCATTCAAATCCTCTTTGATTAGGAGGAAACCACAAAAGGCAGGATAGAGGATTTGTTCCAGGGTCACTGAGGGATTTTGGAGGAGGAGAGTAGACTTTGAATTGTCTCCATGGTAATTTTAGAAGGATCCGGGTAATGTTGCCCTTAGATCAAAGAGAGAAGAAATCCTGCCTTGAGCCTTAGAGTAGGCGTTGGCAAAGCTTTTTTTGTAAAGGGCAAAATAGTAAATATTTTGGGATTTGTGGGCCACGTAGAGTCTCTATCACATACTCTTTCTTTGTAATTTTTACAAGTTTTTAAAACCACGAAACTATCCTTAGCTTAAAGCCATACAAAAACAAGTTGTGGGCTGTATTTGACCCCACAGGCCATAGTTCACTCATCCTGGCCACCAACCTGTGTGAGATTCTCTAGGGCCAGGGAGGGGTCAGAGGATGTTGTCTAAGGGGAGAGAGGTGAGGGCACAGCTTGGTGTGATGGCCGATGTCCACATAAATGTTTGTGAAGCTGTGTGTGGTTAAAGGTCCACAATGCATGGGAAGAGATGAGGCGGGCTGTGGGGGAGGGTCTTGCAGCCAGTTCTCCACATGCTATCTTGCTCTGATGTAGAACTCCAGAGTATCTGAGAATTTTACATTTAAAACTAGACTTCATGTGGGGTACCTGGGTGGCTCAGTCAGTTAAGCATCTGACTTTGGCTCAGGTCATGATCTCATGGTTCATGAGTTGGAGCGCCACATGGGGCTCTGTGCTAACAGCCCAGAGCCTAGAGCCTGCTTCAGATTCTGTGTCTCCTTCTTTTTCTCTGCCTCTGCCTACTTATGTGCTCTCTTCCCCCCCCCCTCAAAAATAAATAAACTTAAAAAAAAAACAAAACTATACCTCATGTAATGTGGATACATTTGTCAACAATATAGATTCCCATTTTGCTGAATAGTCTGATCCTAAATTGGGAACTTCTAACAAATTTAGACTTAGGGTACATGGGCCGCTATTTACATTCTTACTCAAGGCCTCACAAATGTGGAGAGCAAATCTGTCCTAGAATACCCAGTGCTCTCTCTTTGAAAACACAAAAACAAACACAAAACAAAACAGAAAACCACCAGTTCCTAAGTATGTCCCTAATAAACCTGTTACTGATAGGCAGTCCCAGCAGATTTTCCTTTGCATAAGTCACATCCAACCAGAAAGGCTAAGAACTGAGCCAGCATCCAGGCTTTACACCTCTGTCTCACAAGTCCCACCTTGATACAGACAATCTACAGAGTCAGCACTGCCCGGTCCCCTAGCTCAGTGCACAAACTCAAATGCCTGCGAGGGTGTGGGTAATTAAATGAAAGAGGCAGATCAGGTGCCAGAAAAGAGTACACACTAAAAGAAGGAAAGGCCCTTCTAGACAGGACAGCCACCACTCACCTCTGGTGACTGCTGTCATGGAAGAATGCTGACCCAGTGTTGCCAAAGTTCTAATTAAAAACAAAAGGGTGGGGGGCAGGAAATCTGAGTTTCCATATAAAATCTCAAACTTTTAAACATTTGGGAACTAATTTAAAATCTTTAAAAAAATCCATGTTGGTCAAGAAAACGTGTCTGTGGGGCTGCATTTAGTCCATGGAAGGACAGTTTGCCACTTGTGCCCTAATTCTTTCTAACTGAATATGAGGTGTCCTCAGAGTGGAAGCCCCTTTCCTGTTTGTATTTATCCAGAGTGTAACCTCCACGTACATGCTCTGGGCACTATGGAAATAATGCAAAGAGCACGTGATCGTGAGTCAGGAGACCTGGCCTCTGCGTCCTGAATTGCCTTCCCTATTCTGTGAGATTTGAAGCAAGCTGATTATCATAGTCCTTTGTTCCCTCAGCTGGGAGAATTAGCTAGATAATATTTTAGTTCCCTTCCAACTTGCATATTTTAGGTTTTTTAACATTGTAATCAGAGATGTGACCTAAGTAAACTTGGTATAACATTGTATCACCACAAAAGTTATTATAAACCTGTAATCTGTTTCTATTTTTTCAGATCTATACATGGCAATAGGAACTTATTAAAAATGTGAGTTTTCAAGGCATTTGCAACACAATATTATTTTTATCAAGTGTCAATAGGAAATACTACCTTTATGTTCTCATTTCACACATATGAAATATCCTTTAATATAAGCAGTCTTTAATGCCCAGAAAACATTATCATTATCCTGGTTTTTTTTCTGTCTGATGAGGAAAATGCCCTAAGGATACACAACAGGTAAATTATGACAGTTCATATTTTGTTTCTTGTATTTTGTCCTTGAAAGTAACCCATGCACAACACCTCCTGATTCTCTGCTTCTAGAATAAATTGTTGAGTTTCAAGTGATCCTGCAAGTGTAATGGGGTTGATTATATTTACGAAAATGTGGTAATGCATCACAGGGGATGCTGCCACACTTTTCCCAACAAAGGAGGAGGCACAAGGTACATTTTTAAAATTCTGAGCTAAGTGCCAGGAGATGCCAGAGAACAGCTTGTGAGGTAAGAGATTTTAGCAGACACACACGAGGCCAGTTTCTATCAGTTATGAGTGATGTCACGAGCTAGTTTTTTTCCAAGGAATATTTTTCTAAAAGCAAGTTATTGAGATATAATTTATACCTCATAAAAGTATCCCATTTTAAATGTACACTTTAATAAATTTTAGTATATTTACAGAGCTGTCTAACCATCACCAAAATCAAATTTTACAACATTTCCAGCAACCAAAAGAGAAACCTCATGCCCGTTCACAGTTACTCCCCATTCCAGCTGCAGTCCTAGGCCAACCACAAATCTACTTTCTGTCTCTCTCTATATGCTTTTTCTTGACATGCTATATAAATGACATCATATATGTTCTTTTGTGTTTGGCTTCTTTCACTTAGCATAATATTTTTGAGGTTCAGCCATTTGAACTACTCTGTTACTTTTTAATCCTGAATAGTGTTCGTGGATATAGTACCATGTGTTGTTCATCCACTCATCAGTCAAGGGACATTTGGGTTTTTTCCACTTGTTGGCTCTTGAGAATCATGTTGTGAACGTACATGTCCAAATCTTTGTGTGAGAGAAGTCATTCTTGACTTGATAAAAACCTAAGGTTTGCAGCCACACTGCCTTTTTTGGCCATGATGTAATAAATTTGAGGGAAATCAACAGACATCCATGTAACATCGCTCTCACCCACTTGCATCCTGTTTTGCAAAACTGAATTCCCAGAAATCACACAGGGAATTTAGAGGAGACTTGCGGGTGGTCATGGGAGTTTGCCGGGCACATGAACATCCTTTGTCAAGTGTGTTGTAGAAGGAAAAGGCTCTAGTCTATCACTAACTCTGCTACACCCGTTTTCTTTCTTTCTTTCTTTCTTTCTTTCTTTCTTTCTTTCTTTCTTTCTTTCTTTCTTTCTTTCT